CAGCTTATTAATAAAAGTTTGAGTAGGTTTGACCTACCCATTAAGTATGTCGACCCAATATTTAATTAATTAAATTTGATCCATAAGTTAATTAATCTAAGTAATTAATTTATGCTCATTAATAAGTAACCCAATTAATTAATTCATTAAATTTCAAACACTTGTCGATTAATTAATTAGCAATTATCATTCTTCTAGTTCTCCTTTTTATGTGTGACCCATTACAATTAACATTATCATTCTTCTAGTCCTCCTTTCATGTGTGACCCATTACCTTTTTTATTACAATACCAAACAACGTGAATTATTATTTTGATCTAATCAAAACAAGATAAATTTGAATTCCTATTTAATTTAACATTTATTCACCTAGATTAATTAATTGACATTCATCATCCATATTGATATCTAGCAGTATGTCAAAACAATACATGAGATGAAAAGTGTCACGTGATATGACAAAATCAAACTTGTGTCGTTTATCATGAATTTGTGCCCTTATTTGAGCCATATTATTTGGTAAAAATAGATTTTAGGATATTGATTTTTGGTAGAGTTAACTGTTGAAAAATAGGAAAAAATTTAGATTTATGTGTAAAATTATTTTATTAAGAGAACGCGTGATTGAAAATGAGTTTAAAAAAATGTATTATTTAAAGATGAGGCTCAAACAAGGCTAAAATTTCTTTGTCAATATGATATGATCAATTATGAGATATGAAAGTATGTCAATCTTGATTATCAGTCATATCTTTCATCCCACTTTTAAATCAATATTTGCAGAAAACACTTTTCATCTTATGATCACGCTTTCACCAAGGATTTCATTATCAACTTAATTGAATGAAATTTAGATTATAATTTGTCACTATCTAAGAATGATGAATCATCTATTAATCATTTACAACATTCATATGATTCTTGATATATCCAAATGATATCGTATTAGTGACTCTTGGCGGAGTAACATCCATTATACCAAAGTATGACTATCTTCATATAAGGTAATATGATTATTTTAAGTCGAAAGACCAATTCCACTACCAAACGTTAGAGAATAATCACTGATACTCAACTAATTATCTATGTGGAATATCTCCAACAAGTCTCCAATGTTTTATTCTTATCCACGTATCAATTTAAATGCTACTACATTTTAGCTTGTAAGATCAGTTACTGACTCATACGTGAGAAATGCCAGGAGTGTTGGTCTATATGTAATAACAATATGCAAATCTCGTTATTACTTACAATCATGGATAATTTAAAATTATTATCATATGTAACTTATCATAACTTCTTGTAATTAAGTTACTAAGACTTGAATTTAGTGACATAATTAATCTAATTTGTCATAATTATTCAGTTAAATATAGATTTGCATATAAAATACATTAATCATATTAAAAGTATTATGTCAATTGGACTTGGACATAACATTTACAAGATTGACGGTTAATACTTGAATAATGGGTCAAGAACCAATTGTGCAATTTTCTCTCCGCTGGTAATGTTTGTAGAATGTATGGAAGTAGCAAATAAAATATAAAAGGACATGTCTAGTGCTGTCAAATAAATATAATTTGACAAGATTTAAGAAGGAATGTAACATATTTGTTTAATCTCTATTTGACAATCATTATTTCAAAATTCATTATTGAACATACTCATTTTCAACTACACATTAACCTAATTATTTTTTCTTTACTTAAACTACACATTTTCCAAAAATTCATTATTCAAAATTTTATTTTTGCCAAATAATGACCATCAAACAATTATTTAACTTTTTATTGAGTTAATTGTCCCAGTTGTCACTAAATTGTCCCTATCTTAAGTTGTTCGCTGAAATTTAAAAAATCGAGCTTGACCAGTAAATTTATCCAAACGTTGGACGTTACTCACTAACTTAACATCCGTTTCACATCTTTAACGAAATTAGTGATGTGGCTAAATCATTAACAAATTGTCACGTTTTCGATTGCTCACTAAACTTTCAAAAATGTCTTCGACTGCTCACTAAATTTTGAAAAACGTCTTCAATTGCTTACTGAACTTTGAGGTAGTCGAATTTTAGTCACTAAACTTATAAAATAATATCAGCCTGTTGTCTATTAAAAAATGTGTATTGCAACTGCACGAGTCGCGTAAAAGTAATAAAGTGACAAAGGAGCCCGATTTGTCGATCCTACGAGAAATTATTACTCAACTACACAATAGTTAAATTTAATTTTAAACATATTTGTTTTTAGAATCTTAAGGTATTTTCATGATTTGAAAAACTCAAATTTATTGTGCACTTCATTGTTAAATTTAAGTAAATTAATGTTTGGATTTTGCAATGAAACAAACAAAAAATTTAATTAAAAGGATTTTACATCGAAATATATAATAAATTTAATTAAATAAATCTAAATTTTAATTTAATTTCAATTACGAAACTCACAATATATTTGAATTTTTTAAATAATAAAAATAGCTTAAAATTTATAAAAATATGTTAAAATTATATTTAATTACTATATAATTGAGTAGTCATTTCTCTTGTGATCGACAACCCGAACGTATTCGTCTATTTCATTACTTTTACATCATTCGTACAATTGTTGTACACATTTTTAATGAACAATATGTCAACGTCATGTTTATAAGTTTAGTAGTCAAAATCCAACCACCTCAAAGTTCAGAAAGTAATCGAAAACATTTTTCAAAATTTATTGAACAATTGACTACGTTTTTCAAATTTGATAAGTAATCAAAGACGTGGCAATTTGTTAATGGTCTGACACGGCACCACATGTGTTCCGTTAGCCATGTCACTAACTTCGTTAAAAATTTGGAAGTAATGTTAAGGCAATGAGTAACGTTTTAGATACCAAAACTCGATATCTTAAATTCCAGTGAGCAATCAAACACACGGACATAATTTAGTGACTTTGGGACAATTAACTCCTCCATTTTCTTATTTAATGTATTACAATCTTGTCTAATTCCTTTTATTAAACGGAATTCATTATGAACATCGTAGAGAGAGCGCAATACTGCAACAGAGTTTCTAGAATAGGCTAGATTTATGGAACCTATAATTTTTCTTCATATATTGATGGTAATGTAATATTCTTTCCTTGCTGCGCTGCATTTGCTACGTATTGAGAATAAAGTTTTCCATCTACTATAAGTTCTCAAACCATTTTCATAAAGTTACAAAATTCATAGACGCGTTTACTGTTTAGCACCTCCCCATGCTTGTCATTTCATCCCTTTTCTCGAAGGTATCAAGTGGATACTATCGAAAAAGTTTGTTTTTATTCTTAGAAGATAGAAAAGTAGGATAAAGTTGAAGTGAGTGAATTGCTTGACAGAAGGGATGATGAATCCTCAATTGTAACTTATATTTTTGAATATTATTTTTAACTCTGTATACTTGATTTTCTTTTAATCTTTGTAAAATATGTACGGTTCTTCTATATTTGGTTAAAAGCATTATGTAGGGCTGCATTTTTTGAATTTTTTATTAGTGAACATTTTTTTATTTTTTTTTATTTTCAATGTAAAGAATCAGATTGGATCAAATCAAAATTGGTTCGAAATCTTAAGATTCTCGTGTGGTTCGATTTGTATCCCTTCGAAACAAGATTGAATCAGTAATCGCCCAAACCTAATATATTGATTGATTCTTTAGTTTTTAAATGTAGCCCTTGTTTTAGCCATATTTTAAGGGAAATAATGCATTTTTAAATAGTGATTGATAGTGAATGTGTGATTAAAACTAAAGGAAGAATTTTGAATTTACGTGTAATATTATATTATTGACGAATGTGTGCTTGAAAATGATTTTTGAAAAAATGAATTTTTAGAAGAATGTAGCTCAAACAAGGACGTAATATATATTAGTACTAAGCCTTAAATATTTTTTTCTTTTATCAAATAATATTGAAATATTATATGCTTTTTGTATTTTGATTATTTATTTGTTTGTTTAAGTAAGATAACTTTTTTTTTTAACTATTTTAAACATGTTTTTTTATTATGGAAAGCGGAAAGGGAATAGTAAGGATCCAACATATACGTTCTATTTGAGAACCTCTTAATGTTGCAGTGAACACACGTAAATTTTATTTGAAATAAAAGTCTTCCAAAATCTTATGAATTCTATAAAAGTTTATAGAAGTGTATGAAAGATGTTTATTAATTCCATAAAATTCTATAAAAATTAATGAATTTCACAAAAATCCATAACTTAAAAAAATATCTATAAAAGTCCAAACTAAACATACACTCCTTAAATTTTTTATTCTTCGAAAATAATTTTTATAACATGGAGAGTGAAAAGGAAATAGTGGAGATCAAACCTTTACCTCTTATTTGAGAAATTCTTATTGTTGTAGTAGGCATACTTGGATTCTATTTCAAATGACAGTTTTCGAAAGTGTTGGAAATTCTATAAAAGTTCAAAATGAAAATATATAGAAGTTTATGAAAGACTTTTATTAATTCTATAAATTTATAAAAGTTCATGAATTTCACAAAAGTCCATAACTTAAAAAATAAAAATAAAAAAATATAAAAGTCCAATTGAATACTCCACTTAATATATTCATTTACTAGAAATGTATGGATACAATATACTTTTATATTTGTTTGCTAGATATATGTATATATTTGACGTTTATTAATGTTATTTAGTGTTGTATAATTTATCTTATCGAATGAGCCATTCACACTTCACCTTGAAAGGTTGCTAAGGTGAACATGAAGATTGAAGGAGTGGCTACTTTTAAGAGATGAATCCCCACCTTCAAGAGACACAATTCGAATGCATGACTTGACTTTTAAAGAAGTAGGACGTATAATACACTAAATACTGTTGATTTTTAAATTCTTTGAAATTATACATTAATATAGGACCGATGTTATATCCATTCAACATTATAGACGTAAGCATCTTTTATCATGTTTTACGTCATCTTTTCTTCCATTATGTCATTTATTCTTTTATTAGACATGTTTCTTCTCCTAATTGCATAAACCTCTTAGCCAAACTCTCTTCCTTAAATCCCTTGCACCTTCTCTTAATTTCTTTCAACACAACCTTGTTGAAATCCCTGGGTTCCCTTTCAGAAGGCCCGTCTCTCCTATAAGTTTGGAAGCCATAGAAGGCTTTGAGATTTGGCCGTAGAAGGATCGAATTGTTTCCGAAGAACCATCATTGGAAAATGAGTGGGAAAGAGGGTAGTATTGAGATTAATATTCCTTCTAAACAGCGAGAAACTAAGAACAAATCTAGCAAGCCAAGCTTTTCATGCAAAGAATGGGTTTCAAGCGTTTGGAAATTTGCCAAAGAAGACACCAACAGAGTATTATTCTCACTTAAAATGGGGTTAGCAGTTCTTCTTGTATCACTTCTAATACTTTGCCAAGCACGTTATCGAGTTCTTGGCATCAATACTGTCTGGGCCATCCTCACTGTTGCCATCGTGTTTGAACATACTGTAGGTGCGTTTTTGGAATTCAAATAAATGAATTTTTTTTACATCTAGTTGTATAACATCTTAGACGAGGTTGTTAACAGTATAAATTATGTCTATGAAGGTGCCACACTCAAACGAGGATTCAACCGAGCATTTGGCACCATAGTCTCCGGAATATTAGCCATTGCCATTGCTCAGTTAGCTTTGCACACTGGACGGATTGCAGAGCCTATTGTAATTGGTGTGAGCATCTTCATTGTTGGTAAGATAGCAAATCAAACTCATTCCCTTTTTTCCTCAATCGAGACAAACTCAAGAGATAACTATCCATACACTGATAAGGTACGTATGGATTCCCGAGAAGAAAGGAGCTGAGGTGATCCCGGACCGCCCAGATCCCATTGTTTTTCTTGTCAATTAAAACTGTTAATTCAAATACTTAATTCAATAAGATCATGGAGAGCAATAATGAACAAACAAAAACATAAACTCATGCACAAACCCACAGATTCATAGTAGTTCGCTCTCAAATTAATAGCCAAGATGACTCACCGTTGTTGATTTTCACTAATTTGGAGAAAATCTTACACCTTTATGTTCGATCTCACATCACAAAAAAATGAAAAAAATGGTACCTCAAGGCTCCTAAAGTAAGAATTTAGGACGTCCTAATACAAAGATATGAATCATCCATGTATCTCCATATAAAAGAAAATTCACCTTAGGGGCTCTGGTTCTCAAATACCCCCAATCGCAGTCGAGGGATAAGTGAGCTCCAAAGAATTCAACAACGGAAGAAGAACTCATATGACTAATGAGAAATCTGGTTTAATATTTTGCAGGGACTGTAACATCATTCATGAAGTTACTGCCATCCTTTGTGCCATATGTAGCTGGATTTCGAGTTATAATATTCACCTATGGTTTGATCATTGTCTCCGGCTGTCGATTGGGGAACCCAATCAGAACAGCCTTGGATCGGCTTTCCTCAATAGCCATTGGAGGGATCATAGCAGTAGCAGTAAATGTATTCATTTTCCCTATATGGGCTGGGGATCAGTTACACAAAGAACTCGTCAATAACTTCAATTCAGTGGCTGATGCACTTGAAGGTATACTAATCTATGAAAACTTCGACCTTTATGGCTTGTTTGGTAGAGTGGATTGTAAAGTAATGGACAGCATGAAAACAAAAAAGAATAAACAAACTAAAGTTTTGTCCTAACATGCTTCAGACATATATCTATCTGTTCCCCATTTTCTGTACTGTTAAATCCTTTGCAGAATGTGTGAAGAAGTACTTGGAAGATGATGGATCAGAACATGAAGAATTCTCAAAGACTGTCATGGATGAGTTTCCTGATGAACCCGCATACAGAAAATGCAAATCCACGTTGATCTCCTCTGCCAAACTTGAATCTTTGGTACTAATTATCTTTCAATCAGATAATACATAGAGATCTTTTCTCCTTTCTTCACAGGTTTCAAGGTTTGTTCGGTAAGGTGGACTGAACAATTTTATACTTTAATTGGACAGTATTAGCAAGGAAATGGAAGCTAAAATCCGGTTCATTGTACTGTCTAATTAAGAGTGGGCAACTTGACATTTTAACCCGAACCACCTGAACAAGACCAAATTAGCTAGTTTAGTTCAATTCTAGTTAAAATTAACTGGTTCCGGTTCTCAGAAATGACAGTATGATACTGATCTAGTTCAGGCTTACCATTTTAATTTTTACAAAATTATTATTAAAAATCTCGACATTAAATCAAATTTATATCAACTTACACAAATTAATAAGTATTCAAAATAAACATTTCTATTGCCTGGGGAAAGAAAATACACTATAGTTTGTACTTTCCAATTATTTTCTGGTCCACGGGTAGAATTCTTTTGAACCCAATCAAACCATACTATGCATACCTTGTGTTTAGTACTGCTTAGCCAACACGTCCAAACTTTTAAAACCGTATAACATTGAATTGGAGAGAGATCCACAAGGATAATTTCATCTTCTTTCGGTTTTATGTATTAGGGCGTTTCAGCAAAATGGGAGCCACCACATGGCAGGTTTAAGCATTTCTTTTATCCATGGTTAGAGTATGTCAAGGTTGGTGCAGTTTTGAGATATTGTGCATACGAGGTTATGGCACTTCATGGTATACTTCACTCAAAAATTCAGGTCTCTTTCTTCTCTGTTAATGTTAGAAAATATATGAATTTAAATTGTTATTGGACACCCCATTACAAGAGAATCTATCAACTTGTCTAAAATCTTAAATAATTAAAGATCAATCAAAATTGTTATTACTAACCACGTTCATTTAAAAAAAAATAAAAAAATAAAAATCACCATGATATACTTTATCTAACATTATTGATCGATTTGGGCATATATGCAAAAATCTTTCAAAATTTAATTATAAGTTTAAAATTAGGTAATTATCTAAATTGAACAAATTTTTTTTTATTGATCGAAATTGGAAATATATTATGAATACAAAAATTTTGAAATTAGAGGGACAGTTTAGATGGGTAATCTTTTGTTTTGAAACTTCATGAATTGTGGACTCATAAATCCGTCATGCAACGACCTTGTATTCCGAGCAAGAATTAAATAGAAAGTTTCTGGGCCGTATACAATCAAAACCAAGAAGAAAAACAATAGCCAAGTTTTGAACCCCTTTAGATTCTTTCCCCCATAACTTGGGCAACATTTTCTCCCAGGGCACTTCTATTTTGCAAGGAAGAAGTGCTCAGAAACTGGTTTCAATCTAATGCACAGTGTGTACATGAAAAGACAATACGTGAACAAACGAACAACCTTCTGATTCTGTGTCATGCATTCTGAAGTTCAGAGAATCGGAGAAAAAAATCTCATGAACTTATTTATGGTAGCTGTGTACCCAGCCCTGGATGAAACCTTATTTATACAAGCCAGAAATAAACCCTGGTGCAAGATAACATCTGAAAATTAACGTAAAAATCCAGAATTCACCAGGAAAAAAAAGTTCTCCATTTTCATTTGACCTCAAAAACAAAATATGTTGCCTAAAATTATAAGGATGCAGGGGATTTGTCGAGTTTTGCTTGGTTTCAACTTGAAAAACTGATCCCATTCATCTAACACAAACTCTGTTGACTGACGACCGAACTGTTAACCAAGAGTGGATTCAAATATTCTGAGTGGCACTTGTGAAGTGCATATGGTAAATCCACAAATTACGCAAAAAAATTTCTCATTCACTTGTCGTAAAATAAAACCAGATCACAGAACCTAAACATCCTTTGCTTCATGAAGATTGTCACTGCAAGAATATACCCCACCAGGCCAACACATTTCCATTATGGCTTAATGTTAAGTAGTAATACTTCAAGAAGAAAATACAACTACTGCTAGAGTTTCATTTATATTGCCTGAAATATTTCATCAGAATTTTCTGCACAATGAGTCATGAACTCTATACCCATCAAAATCCTTAGCCAGGGAAAAAAGATCTCTGGGCATATATTACACTAGCAATTACTACGTCATGATTTATAGGACAATATTTGCCCAAAGCAAGGTTCTTTGATCATGATCTCTATATACAACAAAAAGTACTATAAACTACCTAATAAGTTTCAATGATTGAAAAATGGCAAAAAATGATTAAGCAAATAGAAAACAGATAAGATTCATTATGAAGGGAATGCATCGAGCCAGAAACATTAATAACAGAATATCCATTTGCCTCTATACAAGAGATTCATGTAAAAGTTGATGGATGAAAAAGCAATTTTCTACATGAAAAAAGGAAAAAGAAGGGATAACCCCTTCTCAGAAAGCTAAGCAGCTAAGTTGATTTCTCCTTCTTGCCACAAAAGCTTAATGGCAATATGAAGACTTCCTTACTAAACAAATAGGAGAGAGGAGTTTATTATATTCAAATCACTAAACGGACATAATGCAATACAGACACAAGTACATGCATAGAAACTGTGATTTTAAACCACCAAATTAGAGAAACAGGATAACAAATCTTTCTTAAATCATGGTCTGATGTGTCCTGAAAGATTTTGCTGGCTCGGATGGACTGACCATGTCTCTACGGCTAGTGAAGTCGATACCAGAACTGCCCATGAACGTTGCTATCAAGTTTCCTCCATGCACCCTTCCTTCTGGGATTGTACCCAGAGATGAGCTGCCTCCAATATGCAGATGATCTTTCCCGAAAGCAGAGTAATTCCAACTGTTGGCGGAAGTCACAACACTATTTTCAATCTTTGTGATGTTAATACTCTCATCCTCAGCAGCTAAAATGCCATTCATCTTAGCAAGTTGGTTGGACTTGGACTCCAGGAAGACAGATCCTATAATAGCACCACTGTGAACCCATTTGTCCTTGACCAGGATACCATGAGATGTGCAGAGTCCTGTCTTCCCCCTAGCAAATGAGTTACAAGGACTGTCACTTCTTCCAAATTCAGAACCAGGCTGACCCCAAGAGCATCTCTTTCCTCCACCATGGGCCTTGCAGAAATCAGTGCTGCCTTGAGCACTTCTTTTACACCCTTCAAATTTACACCTCTTACCCCCACCATGACGGACACAAAAGTCAGTACGCCCCCTAGCACTCTTTGTGCAATCTGGGACAGCACACCTCTTTCCGCCCCCGTGTGCTACACAGAAAAGAGTCCCTCCGTGTACACTCTTTGGGCAAACCCCACCTTGGAATGAACAGCGCTTCCCTCCACCGTGGCCCTTGCAGAAACGTGTGCTTCCTTCTGCACCCTTGTTGCACCCTAAATAAGTGCAGCGTTTGCCACCGCCATGAGCCTTGCAAAACATTGTGCTTCCCTGAGCCCCTTTAGCGCATTCAGGATACTGACATCGGCGGCCACCTCCATGCGATATGCAAAGGCCAGAAAGGCCTTCGGCACTCTTTGTGCAGTTCTCTCTCTGGCATCTCTTGCCACCACCATGTCGAATGCATAACCCAGATTTTCCTCTGGCTGCACGAGTGCAACCCTCATGGCTGCAGCGACGGCCACCACCATGAGCTATGCAAAAGTCTGTACGTCCTTCTGCACTTTTTGTACATCCTAGAAATTCGCAACGTCGACCACCACCATGAGCCTTGCAGAATGCAGTACGACCCTCAGCTCCTTTATGGCAATTAGGGCGCTGACACCTTCGACCACCACCATGAGCTATACAAAGACCAGAAGCACCTCTTGCTCCCTTCAAACATCCCTGAAACTGACACTGTTTAGTACTACTACTACTAGTAATACGATGCTGCAGTTGTTGCTGTGTTGCCCCGGAAGTACAGGTGACTGTGCTTTTTGGCGTTGTTATGACACTTGAGGAGATATCTTTTAAGATTGTGGCTGGCTTAGTTTGGCCTAGAGCCTTGGTGAGAAAGTAGCCTGTTTCCATGTCCAGAGTAGTCTGCAATGGACAAAATGGACTTACTGTTGATCCTTTATGTATGTTTAAAGCTCCATCGCTAATTGGAATCTTGAGGATATTTTTTGATGCAGTGGAACTTTGATGAATATTTGTGATATCAGATTCAGCAGGCCCACTGGAAAGGCTGAGCTCCAAATCAACCTTAGGGCATTCATCAAGCGATTTCAGAGAGGGGCCGGCTGACAGTTTTGGGCTTTGTGACTTCTCACGGCCAAGATGGAGAGTGAAATCCAGTTCTACATCCATTGTGGACTCTCCTTCAGTTTCTTTAGCTGAAGATAATGAGGTGCATGCAGTCACTGTGCTGCCTTTACTGTCGGAAGAACTGGCAGAATGGCCCAGGAGGAGACATAATGAAGATCCGATTTCCTGGTCCACAGATCCACTGATACATTTCCGTTTGACTCCCTTAGGAGCAGATGTCAAAGGGAGTGGAAAGGCAGGCGAATCAAGTCGTAAGGTTCTATCAGCATAACAAACACCTCCAGCTCCTGATCCTCCATTTTGGATGGAATTGCTTGAATTTTTGAACGCATTAGATACCGGGTTAGCAGCAAAACCCAAATTGTGGGATCTAGCATCCATGAACAAATAGTTAAAAGACACAACACTTATTTAATTCAAGACTCAATTGCAAAGAACAGTCTGCCTGACTTCCGGGCTTACAGAAATTAGTGACAAAGCTACGATTAGATGTCTCTAAAAAAGTACTCCCAACCACCACTCACGAATCCCGAAGTATCACAGCGATCCATTTACTATAAAAAGTGATCTGAAGTTCCGCTAATTAGCAGCAGTAACGGGAAATAAATTTACACAATTTCGCATTCCTTCAGTATATAATTGCAGTTGGTCATCCTGTTCCACGAGAAATTACATTATTGGTAAGACATATGATTGCCGACCGAAAGCAAAAAAATTGCAATATAACATAATATTGCAACATTTCTTAAGAAGGAAATGAAATTTATTCTTTATAAAACCAAAATACTTGACAGAGAATATGGTCCTACTTATCAATATTAATTATTGGAACTCCAATGTACAGATAAAATAAGAGTAAAGATCATTAAATCGTTAAGTTAGAAAAAGCAGTAATGATATACATGCCAAAAAATGTAATCAACAACTCTAACATGGAAGGTTACTACCGTTTTAAATTCTGTAAGCCAAACATAACAGCAGCAAAAGCAAAGTACAGAAACCAAGTTAACTGGTAGACCTTTAAAAAACTAAGTTTGATTGGCGAACAGTTTTCCATATCAAACATTCATGATAAAACTGTCTTGTTTTATGTATAAAATGGCAACACTTTATCAAGTGTCCAAAATATTGTTCGTAACAGGGACATCATTGTTCTGTCCGATATATTATCACTATGGTCAACAACATTGTAAAATCCATATGAATCACATACCTCTTTGTACAAATTTTCAGGTGTATGAGAATTTCCTACTGTAATTAGGGAAGGGCAGTACATAACAATCAGTATAGAGTTCTGGATGCTACAAAGAGTTTATACATGGATTCCCAGAAGGGAAAGAATACAATGCAGATACAATCTTGTTTTTGTGATCAAGGTTAAAGCTTCTGATGAGATCTAAATAGTCAGGTGAAGGACCTATAATTAACAGGAAGAGTAAATGATGGCAGACAAACAGTTTCTTCATCCTTTTTATTTCAAGGTGGCGAATGAATGAAGAAAGAGTCTCATCAAAATTATGGGACTGAAAAACCAAAAAAAAATAAAAAAAATTAGGGGACAAAAAAAAAAAAAAAAAAAAAAAAAAAAAAATAGCATAACCTTTAATGCTCGAAAAGGAAAATTAGCCATTGTATATGAGTGGACAGCAATCTCATTCTTAACAAAGATTTCTAATGTGGCCTAGTCCAGTCATTAAAAAGTTATCGTCGGCAACTACAGATACATACAATCTAGCACAAACACGTGGAATGAGTAAAAAATGCATGAGAATGCATCTAAAATTACCTAACTACAAAGTGGTCAGTAATAGTAGGAGTTAACTGTAATACAAAGACCATTCAGAAACAGCCAACAAAAGCAATTATCCAAGTTCTTAATATTCAGAACAGTGAATAGAATGGATATTGGTAAACAGGACTGGAAACAAATAGTCACACAATTTCAACGAAATACAACTAAATAGAGGAAGCATCATCAGGAAAGAAATGTCAAAGCCGCATAAAAGTAGAAGGAGAACCTTTATCCTTTTTCTAGGGGAGGAAAAAATTCTATATCAACTAGAAACCAAATTCGGCACAACTTTTGAGACTGTAAATTTGGATTTGAAAATTTATGTCAATGGAAAGACAATAATTTATAAAACTTACCTTATAGTATAACAAGTTGAGCTGATTTTTCCAGGAAATCCTAGCAGAATTAACAGGCTTCGAAACCTTCCTCGAAGAAACAAAAAAGACTTGGAGAGCATAAAGAAAAGAGAAAAAAAATAACAGTTAATTCACATATCTACCGAACAAGATGCATGACAAAGGCATATATACATACATAATTAAAAAATATATAAATTGATATTTAACACATAAAGAGTTTCCAAACTAAAATTAACCCAGATACAGAAAAAAAAAATCTAAAATTGGAAATTTAGCTCAAAACAACATCAGCATCTGCACAAAACCAAGAATAAAATACGCTCACTTTAAACTAAACAAGATATATGACGCCCACACACATAACTACAACAAAAACTTCATATCTAGCAGATAAAGAGTTTTGGAACTAAAAAATTCACCGAGATACAATAAATAAATTACTAGAATTGGAATTCATTTGAAAAAAGCGGTAGCATATGAGCAGAGCTATTAAAAAGGCAGAATTTTGCAGTTCAATCAACAAAGCGGACCCAATTTTTACTAATGGTGTGCAAAAAACACGCGTGATTTCGGCTAAAACATTAAGCTATGCATGAACTAAATTAAATGGAAAAATGACGAGTAAAGAAACATTAAGCGGGAAATGAATCGATGATAATATAAAATCGGAAGAAATTTACCTGTTAGATTCCGTAACTTATCACACCAGCCAGGTAGGCGGCAGCCACCTAGATATTTTAGAATATAGCTATTACATGTACATATATGCAGAGAGAGACAGAGAGAGCGCGAGCGCTAGGGCTTCGTGAGCGCCGGCAAAGCACAATAGCGACAGAGATGTGCCGTGTGCGATTTTCAGATGTATATATACAGATACGAACGCGATAAAAGGGAAATTAACGGATACTGTCAAGGCAGCGCACGTTAAAAAGGACCGGCGCACGTTATCCCTGGTAAATTCTTTTTATTTTTTCCTCCCTATTAAAGCCACATTCCTAAATTAATTTATAAATAGTCAAGTCAACTTTTAGTTTTAGCCCTTGTTTGAATCACGTTATTTCCATACAAATATATTTTTAAATAGTGTATTGATAAAAAATATATAATTAAAAATAAAGAAAAATAAAGAAAAATTTTGAAATTACATATAATATAATTTTATTGAAGAATGTGTGATTAAAATGATTTCAAACAGATTAATGATTAAATTACATTTATAATCATAAGTTTGAATTAATTCATAAGTATTATCCAAATTTATCATCATTTATTTCTATTTATTTATAAATTAAATCGTCTAGCGTTATGGGTGCCTTGCAAGAAGGGAGCAAATGGTCCACCATAGTCAAATGATAATGATGGCTGAAAATCATGTACAAGTTTTGAGCTTATGAAATTTTACAAATGTGGGAAATCCGTATCACTTGAATATTGAGATAAATGCGATTTATATAGGTGTTAAATATGAACAAGTGTCAATTCCGGAAGCCTCGGTATATCATTTTCTTTGTATTTCTGATGTGTGTGTGTGTGAAATAGTAAGATTATGAACAATTGTTTCTAGTTGCATTAAAGAAGTTAATGTGTTGCATTATTTGCATTCAATAAGAACAATACTTATACAAGCGTCGCTAGTTGCATTAACCAAGTCAATGTATTGTATAATTTGCATTCTAAAAGAACAATACTTGATCAGTCGTCTCTAACATCGAACGAAATCAATTTAAATATGCAATTTTTTTATTTTTACATTTTTGTTTGTCACACTTTGTTACATTATCGTCATTCAAGCAAACAAATCACTAAGCAACACTAACTTTTCTCGAGATTATGTTACATCTTATAAAGCCCTTATTAGGTTATCACTATTGTGCGATCACTTTTACTAGCACGTGAAACCCTATTTGTATCCACTTAATTACATTATGCATAACTTGATAAAATTGTAAATAATTCGGGATTTCTATCTCTTTTGTACCAAAAAAACCAACTAATCTTAAATCAATTGTTAGTTCCTGAATAATCGAAGTGCATTTTGCTTCGCAACACTAGAATATATGTTTTCATTTGATTGAATTTGCGTGGACGAAAGTAAAATTCGACTACACCTTTATGTTACTTCAATTAGGACCCATTTGGCAAGATTATTGAAAAGAGAAAATTTGTTTATGAGTCTAAAAAATTGTCATTGAACATATTTGAAAATATTTTGTCTGACTATAAGGATTTTTAGAAAAAACTTTTAATTTTCTGCGAATATTCTTCAACAAAAATAAAGCAAAAGTAAAAATAGAAATCACGTCGAACAGACCTTTAATATTCATAACTGAGTTATTTTTAGTAATATATGAAATTAAATACTTGTTATTACAATATTGTTTCTGTTTTTTAATTTTAATTTTTCTCTATGAACTTTCCGTGCTTTTGAGTAGAGGAACACTGATAGCACATGGTTTTCCATATTTTCCACTCTGTCAAATTCCATTAGCGGTCCATTGCCCCCCACCCCAACCCACCCCACCCCACCCACACGTGCCACTCGACTTCACAACAGCAACACAATTATGTCGAAGCTAAGACAGACATTAGGAAATTAGGAATTGTGCTTGATGGACGTAATTTAGGTATATAAGGGTGTTCACACCATTCACATGGAATGAGACTCGTGCGAGGTGGGCTCCACTTCATGTGAGGGGTGTGGATACTCCTATGTACATATTTTATGTACACCAAAATTTGTCCGAAAATTAATTTTCCATTGGATTCTTAGCAGAAGAAATAAAAATAAATTAAACTTTTATAAGATTTGTCAATTGGGAACGTACGGGAAATGAAAACTTTTAGAAAATGTTTCGAAATTCTTAATCTTGGAATTCCACAAAAAGTTAAATTAATTATAAACTCTCACAAGTTGGAATTGATTTTGCTAAATAAATTAATTTCATAATTTCTCGTTACCCAGCCAAACACATGACTAACGCTTTACGCCTTCGAAAGGTCGCATAGACTTTTCAAGAAATCAAATTCGGGGTGTGGCGACACGTATCGAAGCGCCAAATTCAATGAAAATCTGACGGGCACAAAACACGCGTCAATGTGACTTTTCTGTATCATTCACAGTCGGCAGCGGCCCGTCACCGCTCATGGTGCGTCGGTTCTTTCTTTCTATCTTGTGCTGGCCTGGCCCCATTTAGATAATGACCTGGAATTCCGGTTCATGTCAATCAATGCGGCGGCTATGTTAATTTTTTTGGCCCCACAAATATCTCTAGTTTCGCTGTTTAGTACAATTTTCTTTTTTTTCTTTTTTTAAATTAGCATGTTTGGTGGCCTTTAATTTATTTCTCACTCTCATTTTTAAGCATATATTCATGCAATAAAGATACTCTACACAAAAATTTAAAACCGTTTCCATACATTTTAACAGTATATTCTTCAAAACATAGTTTTTTTCAAATTAAAGGCCACCAATTTTTTCAAATTAAAGGCCACCAAACAGGAGTCGAGATCTACTGTCCAATTTGCTGTACACTCAATTACAAATCGACATATCATAAAAAATTAAAATTAATGTTATGTCATGGCTCAACTCACCAAACAGGGTTAGATTTTATAAAATAGAAGTTTTTTAAAGAATTCACACTATTTGAGCCCTATTTTTTTTTTTTGTTTAAATGTATTTTGAAATAGTGATTTTTAAGGGAATGTATAATTATAAAATATGAAAAATTTTGAATTTATATGCAAAATTATTTTATGAGAGAACGTATAGTTGAAAATGAATTTTGAAAAATGAATTTTGGGAAAAATGAGGTTCAAACAAATAAGTTCATCAATTTTTCAAACAGTGAATTATTAAGTGACGGATGAAATAATGTTTTGATAAGTTCAATGACCATTTAAAAAGCTTTTAAAATTTAATGATCGATGAAATATATCGTAAAAAGATCTCAAACATGTACATTATAATAAAACTTTTTTTCTTTTAGCTCATAAAGTATCAAAATATCTAGTGTTGAGATGAGATAAAAACAAGTAGGCATATCCTCAAAAGATGCCATCCATGTCTATCGTTACCTATCATGTTCAAGAAATAAAAAAACCTTTAGCCTACCGATGTCTTCAAGGGACATCTTTTATCCTATTTCAACTTAGATAAGAAGGCATTACTGTTTTTGCGACTACAAATAATACTCTTCCCTTTTCAAATTTCGTAATCTCATTTAACGCATGTTACATCTATCAAAAAAGAGAAATGCTCGAATGTCAAGGTACTACTTTCACTGGTCTTTTACAGACACTCACAATAAGTGGGCCCCACACCATTAAAAAATACCCCAAAAATCCCCACTCACCCCACTTGTTTGTGAGTGCCTGTAAAAGGTATGTTAAAAAGGGTCTTGACATTCTAGCATTTCTCATCAAAAAATAACATATCATTATTTTTTTTGCAATCACGTCAGTCGTCAGATAATATTTTCTAACACGATCTATTAAAATTAGAAAACTTAAATATATTATGAGGGTGTTTGGGAGATATTTTTATGTAAAAATTCATTTTTGAATAGTAAATTGATGAAAATGTGTGGTTCAAAAATAAGGAAATTTTTTTTATTCACGTGTAATATTATTTAATAAAGAATGTGTGGTTGAAAAGAAAAGAAGGAAAAACGTATTTTGAAAAAAGTGGGTACCAAACGGGCGTATATGTAAATATGAGAATTTCTTGAATACGTGTCTCCAATCCTGAAGTACAAAAAGGCCATTTCAGGAATTTCCTTAATCTAATCGAATAAATGCCAAAATATTTTATTAGACTTCTACTTTTAGTGATCCTTGAAACATATGAGATCTTATTGACTACTTTAACGATGGCTTTAGTAGTGTCTAGTGGAGAAGAACAGCCAAGTATATATTCGTACCTACTTCTTTTCATCTTTTAAAAAATAAGTTACTTTTATATAATTATTTTATCTATTTTAGGACGACTGAGGACGTGTAAGAGAATATGCTACTTTAAGATTCGTATTTTGTCACACGCGTTATACTTTACTTTTTTCGTTGTTTAATTATAATTAATTATGGGGCTTAAAAGTTTCACGCTTGTCATTATTGTATTTCTTAATTTTTTAATCTTTGAGTCTTTTGAGTTTGTCTTATTATTAGACAACAATGGATTTATTTTTACGCGTAAACTAAAATATTAAATTTATAGAATTTCCAACTTTTAATTGAATAACATAATATTTAGAGAATATTACTTTTGCACTGGTTAAGGTCAAGATAAGCACATACGTAAGATTACGTTTTAAAGACAGATTAATTCTATCAGAGGTTATCGAACTTTTACTCTAACTGTAATTGGATCGTTGAACTTTAATCCCTAAGTAACAAGGCACTAAACCTAAATTACAATTGGCAATTTGAAAGAATTTTTAAAAATAGTGAAGTCGAAAAGGTGAAAAACTAGAACTCAAAGTTTTTTAATGTGTTCAACCCTAGTTCAATCGTTCTTTTTTTTTTTACTAGTTGATGTCCGGTAGAACTTTAAAAACACCATTGAAGATGTTGTATATAATTATGACATTACACCTAGGCCATTTTTTAAAGTTTATATTTCATTAGCCAGATTTTTAAGTTTAATATTTTCATAAATCAGTTGTACCCCATCCATCTTAACCTAAATTCCTTTCTATCATGTGTCACAAAAACTTCATTCTCTGACACGATCACCTTCCTCACGTTTTTGGCATTGCAGCCCGTCCACGTATATGCAGAATAGCGATCCCCGAGGCACAGTTCAACTGGTAGATCAATCAACATTGTCTTACTTTCAGCGGTAGGGTG